TGTTGTAGGCAGATTGATAACTTGTGTGTCTGTTGGTGAAAATGTCATTATGAGTACAGCCTGACTTTGAAAATCCAAATTCTTTAGTATCAAAAAAAAAAACAAATAAAGGTAGTATTGATTATTCATTATGAAATAAAAGAATAATTTTAATCATTTGGTTCCTGTAGCTGTCCGATGATGCACTGGCATGAGATTACGGTAGTCATGGCAACGTGCAGACATATTTGCAGATAAAGACAACGAGAAAAAAACACAACAGAGTACAAATAGAGAAACAAAAGTGCACATGTGAAATCATGTGTAATCACAGGAACATTACAGCTGCCATATGGAGAGCAACGAGGGTTTTAGAAAGAAGCAAATCTGTCAATTTTTACACATTTTTAAAAATTTAAGGTCTGACAAATTCTAATGTGGAAAATCTCAAATAATTATTAGGATTATTATTAATTCTGAAATAAATACTTATTTACAATAAACAACTACTACTTACTTGTGAAATTAATATTAATGTAAATTTTCTGTCACAAAATAACCCTCAAAATATCCATCCATCCCATCCATTATCTATGCACCGCTTAATCCTCACTAGGGTCATGGGGGGCTGGAGTCTATCCCAGCTGACTTAGGGTGAAGGCAGGGGACACCCTGGACAGTTCGACCCTCAAAATATAACACAAATAAATATAGTATGGACCACAAAAATAACTACATTTCCCATGAGCTTTGAAACCACTGCCATTGCTTCCTGTGTGTGAGCGCCCCACAGGTTGTTTAGTGTAGCAGGAGATCAGTGTCCATGCAGCTGTCTGTCAACAACGCTGAATATATGCAGACAAGTTTTGACTGCCATCTAAGAGTTAAAAAAATCACTTGTGCTTATTTTGTTTTTGCAACATAGAGAAGACGAATAACAAGTTCAGTTTAGTTTAATCACTTATTACCTGAAATGAAAAGTCAATTATTTTCTGTTTAACGGTATATCTATAGTTAAAAATAAAATAAAATCTATAAATTAATGATGTGCCATCAGTAAAAAAAAAAAAACAAAAAAAACATGCAAAAAAATGAATGTTTCTTTTCATTTAATGTTAAATCTGTAATTAATATAACACAATCAATAATTGTTATTAATGGTGCACTGCAAATACATTGAAAAATACTGCATTTTCTGTTATTCTGTGGTATATCTACAGGAAAAAAAATATAAACCTCAAGTGTTAAATAAAATAACAGCAGCTCATTACTTGATTGTTTTCCTGTAATTAAAAAAAAACAAAGATGTTCTCTTAATTTATGGTTCACCACCTTCATTTTTTTTTAAGCCACCACTATATGTCCCACAATACAAATGTAACCCTTCTGTTAGGTGATAGTGTACCAACAGTGAGAATAACTGTTGTTTAAGAGAAACAAAAACAAAAACTTTTGCTTTACTCTAATAAAAATTAAATTATAGATCTTTCACATTTCCATAAAAAGACTCATCTAAATAAATCAATAAATTGTTCCAAGATGTAACTTTTGGGTGTCCATTTATTCCAGCTTATTATAAACAGAACTACATTTCCCAGAAGCCTTGAGCCTGCTGCCTGTGTGAGAGCACCCCACAGGTTGTCGGGTGTGTAACAGGAGATGATAAGTGGCCGTGCAGCTGTCAGTCACCGTGGCCGATTGTGTAGTTTGCTAAAAGGGAGGGGTCATAAATATCTGCAGGCAGACTGATGTGTGAGAGCAGGACATCCTGGGCATCCGAGGTCACGACCTTCCTGGTCCCAACCAGATGTCCTGGACATGTGAGACGCTAATTATAAGATGGCATGATGACTATTTGAGTGTTGAGCAATGGCTTGAATGTTTTGTGGCAAAGCTGCAGCATTTCTCACTGCGTATTTTTCACCACAATGTTTCTATATCTAAAGATTGTGCCACCAACCAGCCAACCAGCCAACCTAGCGGGCCACTCGGCTGCTCTCCTGTGAGAGCAATTTTAGACTTGACTTTTCTCCTGCCTTTGCCGTTCTTATCACACCACTTAAAATGCCTTTGATATCTTCCTCTTGTTCTGCAATAATGCCAGCTCTCCCGAGGCATGTGTAGTGGCCCGCTGCCGAGTATCAGCTCTCACTTTTTCCTTTGAGTGCCTTTCTTCCCGTCTAGTCTTTTGATATTACTCATAACTTTCAATTCCCTTCCACCTTACAGCTGTTTTCTTAAAGCCGAATCAGTCGAGCAACCTTTTTTTTTTTCCCTCCCCTCCTGTGTGCCGCGTGCGAGTCGAGTGAATTGGAGGCACCTCGCTTTCTATCTTGAGAATATTTGAAGAACTCCACAAGACGCTGACTCAGTGCGGCACAAAACCAAAATAAGATCCTACCATCTGGGAGAACGCTTTCGCCTAATTGTGGAAGCCTTTCAAGTCTAGACAGACTAATTATACGACAATAGGGGTGTCTGATGTATTAATGCAACATTAGACATCTTGAATATGTCTTTGCAGGGATTTTTAAAATTCTACAGCTCTTAATAAACTATTTAAGCGACCTTTTGACCTTTCTTTTGCCTCACCAATGACAGGCTTAGTGGATGTGTTTCATCAAACTGCAGCTTCATCCAAGTAACCCTTAGTGGTCAGATGCATCACTCTACCTCTGAATCGTTTGGCCTTTATGGAGGATGATAAAAACAAGACTAATATAATAATCTTACAGCTAGACATGAAAATGTAAATAATGCAAAGGGTAAAGCAGAAGAACGGGAGAACAGCTGCTTTTTTCTTTTTTTGTAAATTCCTGAGTCACAAACCCACACTCAGCAAAAACACAGAGAGGCTGTCAAGGGTGAGAGGGAGGGACAGTGAGGAAGAAGAGGAGAAAGAAGAAGAGGAAGAAGAGGGGGGGAAGGAGGAGAGAGAAGGGGCTCACAGAGAGTGCACTGTTAGAGGACAGAGAAGCAGACCGAGTGTTAACAGTCAGCGTAGGTAGAGCAGCGGACCAAACACTGCAGCCACAAGTCAGACTGGAGTCAGCAGCAGCAGCAGCAGCAGCAGCAAGAGAGGGAGATTCACACGTAAGAGGAGAGAAACGGAGTACAGCTGAAGAGTGTTGTGACTGTTTTGGAGCTGGTGGTAGCCAAGAAGAGGGCAGCCAAGCCTGAGGAGATGCTGTGAGGAAGCGTGCCAAGTGATGGAGCTTAAAGCAGCCAGCAGGCGGGCACAATTAGTCAGGTACAGCAATATGGCATCTTTATTATCATTTGTGTCTCAAGTCATTCTGGGTGTTTTGAACAATTAAACGGCGCTGTTTTACTTTTCAGATCGTTTGTCTTTAATAATAATTAATCTAAGGAATACAAAGTAAAGCTTTCCCATTTAACAGAAGTATTCTCTGAGTCTTGTGAAGCCTGATGTGATGCTTTATCTGTGGCGCATCATAACAGGCCCACTGGGGGACCTTTTCCCGCTACGCCAAGCTCCTATATCCAAGTTTTATGTCTCCAAACTGCAACTTTTACTGCCTTTAGCTGCAAGAAATGTGCAGCACACAGCACCCCCATGTTCTCATCTTAACCAGTCAAGTTGGTAGTTGAGACAACGTCTGACGTCACCGCTTCGCTGATCAAGGTCAAACGTGTTTTCTTGACATTAAAAAGAATGAGAATGTGGGAGACATGCAAATGTTTTTGTTGACAGTGACAGAGATGATTATTTTCCACGCCGATGATGTATTCAACATGCTCTGTGTCCGGCTTCACATGATGCTCCAGAGTCCTCGGGCGCCACAAAGCGCACTCTGTGTCGTGCACAGACCCACCGTTTGTCCTCCCCTCCATCCCTCTTTAGCATTTTAAGTCCTCTCCTCTCCCAGCAAAGAGACCCCCACTGGTTAAGAAGGAGATTTTCCAAATATTTCACGACACCCACGTAATCCCCGTTGGCTATGAAGTTGTTGGTCTCCACTCTCATCTCCTACAAAAGAGCCGATTGTTTTGCGCCGTTTACTCCGCGCCTCGTTGGTTGTGGTTGATACGAACATAGATTGCGGACGTCAGACCTCTGGGTCACCCACGAGTGCTCGTGGTGGCTCAGTGTGAGAGCTTTTTTTGTGATTTTATTTGTAATCTTCAAGTTCATCTGTGAGTCTGTTTGATAAAGGTCAACAAAAAGGCAAAGTTTAGAAAAGCCTATAAAATAAAGCAGACAAAGCAGGTGTAACTTAAAGCAGATAAGATACAACTTTAAAATCTAAATAAGACGTGTTTTAGTAGTAAACTGAGCTTGTAATTGGGGTAACTACAGTATCAGGTATGCCAGCATATGGAAACCTAAATATAAAGGGGAAACATAGTCCATGCAGAGTACATGAAGGTACATGAAGATGTTGAGCATGAAGAAGACATTTTAGAGGGTTTTGGTGGTTTTATCTTAAGATTAGTAGGATATAAAGGACAAAAGAATCCATCCATCCATTATCTATACACCGCTTAATCCTCACTAGGGTCGCGGGGGGGCTGGAGCCTATCCCAGCCGACTCAGGGCGAAGGCAGGGGGACAAAAGAATGTTTATTTATTTAACATACATTCATATATACAGTAAGAAAAAAGCTGAACGCAAAGAAGAAATATATAGAGTAGATCTTAGCCATGATGTGGAAAGAAAATGGTAATTTACATAGAGCTCTATGAGAGATAAGATCTAATTTTTTGTACATAAATTCCATCGTTAAGATTTGGCAAAGT